GGGGGGGGGGGAATCCTCTTAGTTATTCTGCATTCATGTGCTGGTATTTCATCACTTTACCTGCTGGACCCGTTTGTTCTGCTGCTCAGCTCATGATAATAATAGACCGTCAGCTTTGTGTCGTGCCAACACCTCAGGGTGAAATGTCCCAAATACCACATGATTAACTCCGTCATTAAACTCCAGAAGTGTTTACCTGGCAGTTTCACACAGCCTCTGAGCCAGCTAGTATGAAGAGTGTGGACTAGTATGACAAAATATTTGCATTGTGGGAGCTCATCATTGCCAAATAAATCAAAAATAAATCATTTGAGAGGTCAGGATCATGTTTGTGTGTGTGTGAGAGAAAGAGGGAGAGGTATAATAAGAAAGGTGAGCACTATGGGTGTGTCCTTCATTCACACAAACACACTCAGGTCTTATATAAACCCTGTTGAACCTGTTACTGCCCATACACCTGTAACATACACTTCTTCACCTGCTGTAGGTGGCTCTGACTGCTCAGTATTAGGTGCTTGTCTGTAGCTACACTTTACCTGTGGGAGTATCTCTGTCACCATTCTTCACCTTTGGACTGTAAGCAGAGTTTATTTGTGTCTGGAAGACTTGGACTTTATCCTGATTATTTCCTGGTCATGCTCACATGCTGGATCGCCTGCATCACAGCGAGCAAAAACAACACGACTCCATGTTCCTGAACTCACTCTACATCTCTGATTCACACAAGAGATAAAGCTGGATTTTCTATTTGTTTTAGATTTTGATTGAAAGCTCTTTACCTGTGAAGGTTGTGATTGTCACTGTGAGTGTTAGCGGCGCCTGCACATTGAGGCAACATGATGGAAGAGGTGTCCATGACGATGGCATACGATGCCGACACTTTGGAGCAGCTGAGCGAAGAGGAGATCCTGGCCTGCCTGGTGGAAGAAACTGGACCAAAATTCACAGTAAGACTCACTTACAGTCACTTTTGAGATCACCACATCTAACCGTTAAGCAATTGGCTTTTTGGAAGTATGAAGAACTTTCAAAGTCAAAATGAGAGTAAGACTAATTTAAAAAATGATGCACCCTGCTGCTCCACCATTTATAACATTTCTTACAGATCCAATACACTGTAACACAAAACCCATTTCACTGCATGACAGATGTGTTATCGTAGATAGAAGGAAATGAAGCCTGAGTGTTCATTTTTGATATTTGAGATATGGAAATTGTCAATTGTCAGGCTCATAATAAATACCCCCCTCCTAATACTCCTTTATGTTCCTAAATGATCCCTCCCCATGTGCTCTATCTTAACTCGCACTTATCCCTATCTTGATCTCTTTTTTGTTTCGGGGGCCTGTTCCACGATTTGTCGCGCTCAGCATCCGACAGCAGATCTGTTTGAAGGAGATAGCTTTCTCCAGCTCACTCAAATATGACTTTGCTGTATTTCATCAGCCTCTTCTCTCTCCCTTCAGGTTCCCTCAAAGAAAGAGAGCCGGCTTCAGCTGATGGATGATGAAGAGCCTTTGGACAAATACCTCGTCAGAAATCCTTCACTCACCACAAACAGATACATTAAAGTCATTCCACTGATAAAAATGTCGACATTCTGTTTATCCCTGATGGATTTTCCTGTGTTTTTGCAGAAGGAGAACTATGTGTTGCAGCAGACGAGCCTCCGTCTGGAGCAGGAGAACGACAGCCTCGCTCACAGACTGATCACCAGCAAGATAGCCTTGAAGAACGCTCTGGACCAGGTACGATAAGACATTTCCCTTCACCAAAAGGGTAAAAGGGTTTGCTTTAAAAATGCATTATAACCTCCTGAAAGTCATTACTCAGCCTGTCAGGAGACAGCCAGAATGTGACCTTAATAATACTTTCCGGCATTACGAGCAATTCAGTCTGCAGTCGTATTTATGCTCAAAATGTCAACCCGTCTCCAAATAACTGGCCAGCAGTACCAAGCATGCCGGCATTTTATCTAGAGATATGATTTCAAGATTGTTCACTTATTGCTTATTCTTCATGAAATGGTTCTTTAAAACCCTGAAATGGTCTAATGTGAAGATTTAACAATTGCAATGATAGTTTCATTTGCTTAAGTCTTCTCAATACAGCATGTCACAAAAGCCTGGAGAGAAAAAGAACAAGATGGACGATTTATTTAATTATCGTATATTTATTATCGTAAAGGAGGGTTCGTAAGTTGTCTTGTGAAAATGTTCTGTACATGAATATCTGTTCCATGGATTTGACTTTGAATTTTAACTGCTGTCCGTCAATGTCCTTTTAATCCTTTAATTTTATTTTGTAATCAGTGATCTCCAGACTTTGTGGAATATGCACAGGATTTAATGACGGCTACATGTTTTAATCAAATCGAATCAAGTTTTATTTATATAGCACATTTTTTAAAACGATTTTTGGTCGAGCCAAAGTGCTGTACATGCAATAAAAACACGTTACTACGATAGCAAACAGAAGACAACAAATTACAACAGCAAAAATAAAAATCACACACAGGGAAATGTCAGGAGTTATGCTCCGCTCTGACTACAAGGCCAGAGAAGAAGTGAGTCTTAAGTGTAGATTTAAAAACCCCTAGGGTCTGGGCCGAACTCACATGGAGGGGCAGAGTGTTCCAGAGCCTGGGGCCAGCTGCTGCGAAGGCTCGGTGCCCTCGGGTTTTGAGCCTGGTCTTGGGCACTATCAACAGCAGCTGGTCAGCCGACCTTAAAGCTCTGGCTGGGGTGTAGCGCTGGAGGAGTTCAGCTATATAGGCCGGAGCCAGCCCATTTAGTGCTTTAAAAACAAATTAAAATAATTTAAAATCAATTCTGAACCGAATTGGAAGCCAGTGCAATGAGGCCAGAATTGGGGTGATGTGGTCACGCTTTTTATGGCCAGTGAGAAGCGTGCAGCTGCGTTCTGCACTAGCTGCAGGCGTCTAATTGTCGCCTGGTCCATACCCACATACAGAGCGTTGCAGTAATCCAGTCTCGAGGTAACAAAGGCCTTAATAACCCTTTCTAGGTCTTTAAAAGATAAAAACGACTTGGTCTTGGCCAATAGTTGTATTTAAAAAAAGCAGGTCTTGACTACGGTGCTGACCTGCTTATCAAATGTAAAAGTGCTAGTGATGGTCACTCCAAGGTTCGTGACAGAGGGGAGGATGTTTTCATTGAGAGCCCAGAATATCAACCGGAGAGGCTGGAGGTTGGGGTCCAAAAACGAGGACCTCGGTCTTGCTCTCGTTGAGGTTGAGGACATTTTGGCTCAGCCAGGATTTGATCTCTGCTAAGCAGTCCATCAACGGCTGTAATGAGTTGACATTTGAATTGAAAGGCAGATAGATCTGTACATCATCGGCGTAACAATGGAAGGGGATGTTGTGTTTTGTGAGAATTGAACCTAGGGGCAGTATGTACAGTAGAAAAAGGATGGGGCCCAGAATCGAGCCTTGGGGAACCCCACAGGTAAAAGGGGCTTTAGCAGAGGAGAAGGTACCTAGCTGCACTGAGAATCTACGGTCTGTCAGGTAGGACCTGAACCATGCAAGGGCAGTCTTTTCAATAGAGAAATGTATTGTTTTTGTTGAAAACCTGAAGGCCTGATAATCTAATTGTACTGTAGTTTTTAAATTGCATTTCTATTTTAGTTCCGTAATTGCATAGGATAAGCATTATGGATGAAGCCTGCATCTCTTTTGGCACTCTATATCGAAAATGATTTCATACAACACGATGACGTTACTTCCAACAGAGAGTCTTTGCTGCTGACCAGAATAATGTTAATTTGCAGGCGGAGGACCGAGTGGACGAACTCACCAAAGACCTTCTTCAGACCAGACACCATCTGCAGGCGACAGAAGAGGAGAAGAGAGGGACAGAGGAGGAAGCTGAAGTGGTACGCCTCTTTAAAACATCACAGAGTCCTTACAAGGTTGATGCTATGCTTGACATGCATGAGTAAAGGATTTCTTCTCTTCTTACAGGCGAAGGAAGTGTTTAGAAGAGAGCTGCAGAAGACTGAGCAGGAAGTCAGGAGGTCGTCTGGTGTCATTGCGGACTACAAACAGGTAGAGAGAATCAGAAAAATGAGGCTGTTTGGATTTATGAGATACTTCACAAGAGGATATATTAATAAAGAGTGCTGCCTAATGCTGTTGATCCTCTTTTCTGCTCAGATCTGCTCTCAGCTGACAAGCCGTCTGGAGAGGCAGCAGGCCGCCCACAGAGAAGAGTTAGACTCACTCAAGGTGAGAATCAAACTGCTGTCATGCTTCCTACTTTTAAACCACCTTTTCCTCTGTCATGCTTCCACTTGAACATGTTGTAAGAATTCATTTTCCTACCCTCTTCTTCACTTTCTTATTTGGTTTTCATCGTATGTGTGGTAGGTAAGTCTGGACACTGTTTCACATCATGCCTATTCTTCTCCATCTTTGCAGAGTGCAGTGAAGGCTTGCTCACGCTGTCGACACCTCGTAGAATCAGAAGCAGCAATTGAAGGCCACGGGAATACTGAACCAGGCCAGGAAGAGGACGACACAAAAAAGGAAGAGCAGAGGAGGGTGGAAAAGGAGAAGGAGTCCCTCTGGGCCGAAGTCAAGGAGCTGGAGCAGGAGTTGGCCAGGACCAAAGTCCATATGGTGGAGTCCAAGTGCAAGATCCAGGTCAGAGCAGACCATCAAACCATCACACAGCACCTATAAATACACACAAACACATCTGGTGAATCTAAGCAAGCCAAATCCAGGTCACATCACTACAGTCTACCATGCATTGGCACTTTAATATCTAAAAGAAATGTGAATGAAACTTCAAGGAACATATTTAATGTCTGATAAAAAAAAACACAAAAAAAACAAATTGTTCAAACTCAACTCAATAAATAGGGATCTGTATATTCATTAAGGTTTGCAACAGAAAATACTTTTGTATGTCTGACATCAATGTGAGGCATTTCCAAATAAATACAGAATATAGGGTTAGGGTTAGGCATGGATTCCTGCAAATATATGATGGACACTTTCATCCCATGTTGGGGCAAGGGAAGTGGTCAGCGCAATTGCTCATTATTACTTTTGGCCATTTCAATACATACAAACATCTGTTTTACAGTACTAAAACTGCATGTTGTGTGTCGTTTTTCCTTCACCAAATACAAATAAATGTTTTTGGACGGTCTAAATAATGCACAATTAAAACAGATTTTAACATTGAGTAATTATTATATTATATGATACTAAAACATAAATTGGAAATTAATTTATTTTTATTAAAAGCACTAAAGACAAGACAAAGTAGTGTACCATTATCGAACACATTCAATCAATTTAGTGCAATAAAGTGTATTTTGTATTCAAAACTTAAGAGAAATAGAGAGAAATACAAGAAATCAAACAGTATTGTTGCACAAAAAATGTATTTGTGATTAATTTCTTTGCTGCATTTCTCACATTCTCCTCTTTCATCCTCGTGCAGGAGCTGGAGCACCAGAAGGGAATCCTGGCCAACGATCTCCAGGAAGCGAAGAACAGCTGGATCAGCAAGGCCTTCACCTCCCTGCGGACGCCCAGCGCAGGGGGACTTCACAGCATCAGCTTACCCAGAGAAGGAGCTCCCTCAGTGGTGTGGAACCTCCGCAGAGGCTCCCTGTCTGAGTGGAGCGCCAAGAAGCTGTCGTGGCCTCACAGAAACAAACAAGAACATCTCTAAAAGCTTGGACTGTGAATTTGCAGACTGCTAAAAGTGGAAACAATTGAAGGATCAGACCTCAGAGTATTTATTCACAATGTGATGTGCAATGTGTGGTCAGTGCGTAGCTGCTGTTGTGTACCATAGGGCAGTGTAAAGCATGAACACTTTCCAACTACTGAACACACTAGTGCATTTGTTCCTTTGTAAACCAAATGTGCCATGTGAGTTATTTGTACATAATTATGTTCTTTGTAAAACAACATTAAAGCAGGTATGACTTAAGAAAATGTTTGTGTATGACGTAAGGAAACCTGACTCATTATTAGAAACGAAACACTTCTTTCTCAAATAGTTTTTTCCTGCAATTCACCACGATCGATGTTCCTCTTTCACTTAGACGACGGCTTTATAGTCCTGATACGCCGCTGCTCAAACACACAGAAGGGAGTCGGCAGCAGCAGCAGCAGCAGCAGCACTTCTTTATCTCTGAACTTTGACGTGCAGAATTATATACCTGAGCAGAGCAAAGAAAGAACAGAAGAGAGTAGGCGATATCTTGCAAACGAGGGTTCACTGCTCCATTTAGAAAGCTTTTTCACTTAGTAATATTGTTTTCCGCCGGAAGCACTAATGGCTGCGATTGCTGGCAGAGCGTGTGTCACTGTGGTTCTGCTCTTGTGTGTTCTTGGAGGCCAAGCACTGGACCTGCTGATGGGGACTACAACGCCAGGGAGTGAGTACCAGTAACATATGCCACTTGTTATTTACTTGGTGGTGTGTGTTTGCATGTGCTTTCAACACATGTCATTTAATCAGGAGTCGTAAAACAAAAAGCATAATTACCCTTTTGTTGTTACATTTATTAAGAGCTTTGTTGCTGCTATGTTGCACTGCACATGTATTTTTTCACATGCAGTGAATGGATATAGTCATTTTGTGAGGCTTAATGGGATTTTGTTTACCTTTTATTACCATATTTCCAACCCTGCAACACATTTTATTTATCATTCAATTGCTATAACCTTTTAAATGACTAACAAACTAACAAAGAAAAGAGGGCAAAGGCGTGCTCTTAAAACACAACTTTAAGAAGCACATAAATAAATAGTTTGTTTGCTCATTTTATGACTTTTGTTCTCTCAGATTCTCCCTCCATTCCCACAGTGCGCTGCCGGTGTGCGAGCTACCCCAACGTGACTCTTTGCTCCTGGCCTGAACCCCCCCATCACCCACCAACTCACTACGTTGCCACCTACAGGTAGATCTCACTGCTCTGCTCCTGTGTGCTGACCTGCACCACTGACACCTTTTAGTAAAAACAGACTCCTGTCGTTAAGTGTCGCTAAGGAGCTCATTAATATGTGTGTTAATGTGTTTGCCAGTGAGAGACACAGTCAGTCGGTCACCAAGCACTGCCATCTCATCCAACCCGGCTCTTCGTCCTCTGATGTGATTTCAGCATCGTCATCCTCATCTGATCGGGTACCAGCTTTATTTATTTACCTTTGCAGCAGACACACTGAAAAGGGGGTTTTCCAAAAGCCTGATTTTAGTCAGAGTGAAACTATGATCCATCAATGATTGTAGTAGAAATGTTACTGTAATGTTGATCCAGACACTTTTACTTCCATGTCCTTACTTGTCAAAGTGTTTTTTGGAAAAACCCCTCTCACCTTTTACACAGAAGCTGTAACTCACTAGTTTCAAGTTTGTCTTGTGAGTCTGAGTTGAAAATGATGTCATTAGGGGGGAAATAGTTGGTACTGGTTTCTGGAAATCACGCATTTTTTGTTGTGGGAATTATTTTCGACATCTAAATCCTTTCTTGCACGAATCTACAGTAAATGTTATCGTATGTTTTTACCATTACATTTTAGATTTTTAAATGATACAAAAATAAACTCTCAGTGTGCAAAAATGACTAACGTTTACTAATTGAAACATGAAAATATAGAAATATATAACCTCATGATTTATAATCTTGTGTTTTTTATTTATATTTTTTAGCTCTGGCACTGCCACATGCCCAGCCTGAAGCTGCTCACTGACTACATCATCAATGTCACCGCAGTGTATTCTGGGAGCAGCAGCTTCCATCTTTCAAGCTTCATGTTGGAGGATATAGGTGACAACTGACATGATTAATAATCCGATCTAAAAGAGAGTAGGGAGAGTGATGAGTGCACCGTCGTGTGATACTCAATATAGCTTGATGTGCATATTGTGAAGACACTTGTGGTTAATGTTCAAGTCTCGTTCTCTCTGTAGTGAAACCGGACCCCCCTGTAGACGTCACGGTTTCCCCTCGTGACTCCAAACGCTTGTTGGTGCAGTGGTCTCCTCCCCCTACCTGGGCTCACCTGGACATCTTCCCTCTGAAATACCAGATCAAGTACCAGCGGGAAAGCAGGGGCATCCCAAGGTCGTACAATGTAAGAAACACCATCATCAGCAGTAACAGCAGAAGTGTGAAACTCTACATTATTACACACACAACCACAAGGAAGTTCAATACGTTTTTTTTAGGTAACCTCAACACGTTTTCAGAAAGTCCCTTCGTCTGGAATCCTTCTCATTTCAACTAAGCTGTAATGTTTTTAAATGTAAACTGTTTAATATTGAGGCAATAGCTTTTCAGTAGACATTAAAATAAAGTGATTATTTTAATAGTGTTAAGAATTGTGATTGAACAATTACTTTTGAATAAGAAATGCTGATTAAAACACATGTTTCTCCTTGTTAGAATAATGATTGAATGAATACTCAAATATTCAAGGATTAGTTTCCCTATTTGGGAAAAACACTTATTCATGTTTGTGTTAACTAGTGATTTTCAGAAATGGTCCAATGGTTAAAACCAAGTTTTTATTCTTTATGCGTAAGCTAAGCTAACCAAGGCTGTAGCTTCTTCTTATCTTACCCGATGTATAACTTAGCAAATTATTTTGTATCTTAAAGATGTCAAGAATGTAACCAGTTTATTTAAAAAGAGGCATTGTGTCGTATTTTTAAAATACTATGCATTTAACAAAGATTATTTTTATAGTAATATATCTTTAATTTCCTCCTCCAGCTGGGTCCGATTGAGAGCAACTGGGTGGTGCTGAAGCTGAAACCTGGAGCCTACCTGTTCCAGGTGTGTGCCAAAGAGCTGCTCAATCTGGGCGAGTGCAGCGACTGGAGCTCACCTGTAAAGATCACCATACCAAGAACTAAATAATAGAGACTCCTTCTCACTTCCTGTTCTGTTAAACACTCTCCTTTCAAGCTATGAGTGAAGTTAAGCTGACAAACTCTAGACAGGGTGCATCCAATGCAAATTCAAAAGTTATTTATATTTTGTTTTATTTATAAATGAATAAATGGACATCATTTCTATTTGAAATGTTATTTTTTTATATATATTTGTAATACTGTTGGTTTGAGATGTTTCCCTTTGAACAACTGATACTGTAACACTTTCTGATAATTGGTTAATACGTTTTTTACATTCAACTTTTATGCATTATTTAATATTATTTATTTATATATTTTAGTCCTTACATGACAGCTCCACATTTGTATGAAAAATATAATAAAATCAACGCATTCATATTGAATCCTGTCAGTCGATGACTTGCACCACGAGTGGGGTGACGAACTCGGAGTGTCTGACACCCATAGAGAAGGAGGGGGGTTTAGGGAGGTGCACATTAAACTTTTCCGGGCTGTAGGTGCCGGGGCCGGGGATAGCCGAGGAATAACTGGGTCTCTTAGTCCGTTTCTGCATGGAGAAGGAGGGCTGGCGCTGGTGGTAGATGTCGGGGTTGGTGGCGTCGTATTTGGCCGGTCCGGGGCTCTTGGAGAGGTCTTCAGACGGAGCTCCCACCTTCCTCCGGCCTGAGAAGCTGTAGCTGGCACTCGAGGGTTTATTAGGGACCTGGCTGCCGAGCAGATTAGGGAGTCTGTAGCTGGAGTGAAGGAAAAACAACACGTATTAACGTTGTGCTTCAGAGAGTTCTCATTTCAGCTATCTCTGATTTAAATGATAAGGCTTGCAATATTCTGTATCTCAATACCTTCAAAGTCCAAAGCTAAGCTCATTCGTTCCTTCTGAAGACGGTCTTTAAAAACAACAGATATTTGGCAACCTTTGCATTGTAATTCTGAGCAGATGTTTCTCATACAGTGGGGCATTTGTTGTTGACGCATTTTCACTTGCTCCTTAATCACTTTGGGAAACTCTTTAGCAGAATGTTTTAAGGTACAAGGTTATTCCTTCTGTGCTTTGGTGAATGTTGAACATGATCTAGTTTACATTTGTCTGTTATAAAATAAAGAACCTATAACTTATATAAAATCTGATGTTTAATAAAACATCTACTTCCTCTCTGAGTTTCCCAATGATACAACACGCTATTATATTATGTGATACAGTACGATCCGATGCGATACGATACAAATACTTATATCGCGTCACAATAATCTTCATTTGTTTATGGGCTTCCTCCCACATTCTTGTCCAGCCTCTCCAACCTTTTTTTGCATCGTACAGGGTATTCCCATTGACTTCATCACTAGGGTTACGTTAAACTACTTCTCCTGACCTTCTCCTTTACTTCCACCATCATTTCTACCAACAGACACTAGAGGGACTTGTGGAGAGTTAAAACCATAGTGTACAGGGACAATATATATGAGATTGACTCAAAATAAACTACCATGCCCATGAGTTCTTTAGCACAGAGAACCAAAATCATGTCCCACCCCCAGCCTTTCCTCAAATGCCTGTGTCCTGCTGTCTTCACCTGTTGGGTGCCGGGACAGGATCCACAGAGCGGTATCTGGTGCGAGAGCCGATGGTGAATGAGGGGGGTCTGAGGTGAGAGTTGAGAGGGGGAGCCTTCTCTGGGCTGTAGGCCCCCGGCCCCGGAGTCTGAAACACCTCACCTTTAAACAGGAATAAAAGTCAGTTTGGAAAAAGTTTCTCTCTTTGTTTATTTTAATTATAGTGTCCATAGAAATCACAACATTCCATAATCCTGGTATGATGTTTGAAATAAAAATACCTAATTTACATGATTACACACGTAACAAATGAAACTACTTTCTGGACGATTTACCCAGTGTTCAAATGTATATATTTGGAGGGTGTCGTTTTCTCATACTGATATTCTGCACAAACTGTGCTGTTGTATTTGTTGTAAAGTGTCCTTATTGTAAAGTATTTTGACCAAAAATCGTTTTTAAAATGTGCTATATAAATAGAACTTCATTTGATTTGATATATGGAGCTGTACTTGTCCATACAGACTAAACCATTGTTCATGGGAAAAGGTAGTTTCCTTGAGAAATGTTTGTGTGAATTCTGGATGT